ATCCATTTTACAGATAGGAAAACTGAGATGCAGAGAGATTAGGTATTAGGTACAAATTAGAGATTTGTCCCAGGTCATACGGCCACTCAGTGACAGTGCTGGACTTTGAATCATGGCCGGAATGGAAAATTAGTTCTCAATTACCAGTGAACAAATCCCTTTTCCTTTCTCTTTCAGTTCTCTGCCCTGCATCCAGACACATGGACTGCCCTTTAATCTACTGTTCACTGGGACCAAAGCCATTTTTCTCCTAGAGGAGGACAAGGGACGTCTCTTGTTAGTCTGCTAAACAATGACTGCTACCCATCACTGAGTAAACTTCATTGGGGGAAGGGGGTGAAGACACAAACTTGTGCTTATAATATCAGTCAAAATCATTTATTAAGGAGAACTGCATGTACCAATTGGAACATTTTCCAATGTTGGAACAATTTCTAAAATAGATGAAGTGAATAAATGAAGAAGCAAAGGATATGTATAGAATACTATTCTTTGTGTAAGAAAAAGAATATATAACAAACAAGAAACTGGTAATAGTGGTTGCCCCTAGGGAGAAGGTCTGGGAACCAACAGCTTGAAGCAAGAAAGATACTTATTTTACAATTTATTCCCCTACTTGCCTTAAAAAAAAATTCATGTGTGATTTTTCTACTTCTTAAAAAAAAATATTTAAAGAAACCATTTATTACTGGGCCTTTCCCAAATGCTCACATATATCACATACATGGATTGCAAACATGAAAAATTATGAATGTTTATGACAAAAATTAGATGAACTTAATTTGCAATCAAATAGAACTATGAAACAATTTTTGTCTTTTATGTTAAAGTTCACTGTTACTAATATTACAATATTTTTGTGCAATAAATAAAATGCATGTTGAAGGTGCAGGTATCAGCAGTGACAATTTGCCATGCCTTCTTCCTAAAGACCTTCATCTGTTATTGCAACAATCATTTAATGAGCACCTACTATGTGCCAGGTGAGGTGCCAAAAAGATATTTTTAAAAGAAGAACTAAGCAACAGGTAATTAATTTCCTTTCTCTTGCCTGTCAGAAAAATATGATGGTGTGCTAATGCAAATGCCAGAGCTAGAAGCACTCTTGATGATCACATAATCCAACACCCTCCTTACTCAGCTAAGAAAATTATGGTCTGGAGAGGGGAAGGGATTTGTTCAAGGCTACATAAGAAGTGAGGCCTCAGAATTCCCTGTCTTGCTCTCCTTACATGCTAGATGCCGTTCTGAGTAGCTTGTGTTGAAAGATGGGCAGCAGAGAGGGGCAGAAAAAGACCCTGAGTGTCAAATGGACCAGACGCTTTCAGACATCTTGTCCCATTTATTTTGCATATCCACCTCACAGGGTAGGCATGGCTATCCTTGTTTTATCAGGTTATTAAGTATGGAATGTCCGATTTCCTTAAGTACTAAGGTGGACAGTTGATATCTGACATTTCACTTTGACTCTTCTTGTTTATTTGTTTGTTTCTTTTATTGTGAAGGTACATCCTCATGCTTTCAAATCTATGTTTTGGCTTGTGATTATCTTTCAAAAAATTTTTTAGAACAATTTTTGGGAAACCGTGGATTAGTCAAAAATTTGTGTTATTTTTTTATATGAGTTCCATCACAGAACCAATGCAGCACAGACATGTCAAAATATCAACAAAGTATTTGGGAAGGATGTGGCTAATGAACACATAGTATATCAATGGTTTAAAAAGTTCTGTTCTGGTGATTTTAATCTTGAAAATGAGCCATGTGAGTGAGCTGAGACCAAGGTGGATAATGATGAGCTGAAAACAATAGTGGAATCCATCTCAACCTACACATGAATTAACAGCAAGGTTTGACATTACTATTCCAAAAATACTGGACCATTTGAAAAAATGGGCAAGGTAAAGAAGCTGGATAGAAGAGTTCTGCATGAATTAAACGAGCATCAGATGAGAAATTATCTTGAAGCTTGCCTTTCTTTGCTGTCATGACATAAAGGCCAACCATTTCTACACTGTATTGTGACATGTGATGAAAAATGGGTTCTTTTTGACAATCACAAGTGCTCAGCATAATGACTGGATAAAAGATGAAGTGCTGATACATAGTCCAAAACTAAATATTCATCATAAAAAGCTAACGGTGTCCGTTTGGTGGCCCAGCACTGGTATTATCCACTACAACTTCTTGAAACCTGGTCAATCGATTACAGCAGATGTCTACTGCAACCAATCGGATGAAATGAAGAGTATGCTTGTGATAAGCAGCCAAGATTGGTCAATAGAGACAGGCTAAACCTCTTGCAAGACCACATGTCGCAAAAAACAACACTGCTCAAATTACAGAAGCTAGACTTGGAGATTCTCTGTCATCCCCCATATTCGCCAGACCTTGCACCAACTGACTAGCACTTCTTCCAGGCTTTGGACCACTTCTTGCAAGGAAAAATATTCAGTTCTCAACAAGCTGTGGAAAACGCCTTTCACAATTTCATCCCAACTCGCTCTCCAGGCTTCCTCATTGTTGGCATAAGCAAGCTACTGTTAAGATAGCAAAACTGTGTCGATAGTTTAGGCACACACTTTGATTAATTGTACTGCTTCTTGTTTGAGATATAATAAACTAAACTTTTTATTTGAAACTGGATATTTCCTATTTAATGACCTAATACAAATAAGGAAGCAAAAGCTCAGAGAAGCTGAGAAAGTGGTGCTGGTTCACACAGCAGGAGGTGGTGGCCTGAGGCTTCAAGTGCAGAGCTGCCTGCCTTCCAAGTGCAGTTCTCACTCTCCATACTGAAAAGGAAAAGCTATTATAATAGTAATAGACAGACTGGGGCCATACCACAGAGAGCTGCGGATGCAATACTTTCCCATTAATGAAGTTTTTCTCCCAACTCTGAATGTTGTCACTCCAATAAAAACAAATCAAAAAGCCAAGCCCTTCATTATCCAACACATGTTATAGCTCTTGTTTGCCACCAAGTTTGGGCTTTCCTTTTAACCCACAGAGCATGATGGTCACCCAGAGGGCAGCAGTCTCTGAGTGCTTTCCATTTTCCATTTCCATAGTTTCTGCAGGACAGAGTGGGACAACTCACATGTGCTACTTCTAGACCCTCCCGTGCCTGCCACACAAGCACAGGCCCCAATAAGAGATGCCATGCCCACAATGTCACTGGGATACCCACTACACCAACCAGCAGTAGTGAAGGAGCCCAGCACCATGGTGTTTGGTCCCCAAAAGGCCAATAGCTTCTGCAGTGAAGAAAAACACTGTCCAGTAGGGAGGCCTCCACCTGCCTGCTTCTCTGTCCATGCAACGCAGGTAGGAGGCATTACACTGCAGACCAGTCAACTGCCAGTGGACAGAGGTGCTGGGCACTGAAAGCTCACACAAATGTGTATGGGACACTCTTCTAAAATTCAGAGGGAGCCCCATCATCTCACTTCCTTTTCTCTGCTCCTGTAGGAAACTAATAAGTTCTGGCATTCCCTTCTTTTTGTTGTCTACTTTCAGAATGTGGTAAAATCAGAGTCTGTACTTGGGTGGGGGAAGGGGAATCCCACAAGGCTCAAGCCTAAGCCACATGCTCCAGCTCAGAGTCCTCACTGGGGTTGCAGGCTAAAGGTCAGCAACAATTAAATGTTCCTTGGCTCTCCACTTGCCATTACTCCCTGGGTTGCAACAGCTCCCTCAGAGGCCTCACAGGGAGAAGCAGTCCTGATCCAAGATACAACTGAGTCTTTCGGAGACTCTCCAGCACAAACCTCATCCCAAACTCCAACAAAAAAGTGGTCTATTCTCACCTCTTCACTAGTAACCCTCTTCTTTTTAGACTCTTCAGTCCTGGACTCCAACCTGGCCTTCAGCACAAGAAGGAGGCTCTAACTTTCTCCAATGCTTTGCTCAGTAAGTACTGCTTCACGCTGTCTCACAAGGCCCCCTAGGAGACACACAAGCCAGGTACCATGATGCTCATTTTGCAAAGGGGGAAACAAAGCCCAGAGAGGCGACAGACTCTCCCAGGTAACACAGAGTCAAAGCTTCTAAATTCTCATTCCTGCTCTTGCCCTCACCAGGCTGCCATTTCAGTCTTTTTGAGACTAGCACTATCAAGACTGGCAGCAGCATCTGGTACGGGGAGCCAAAAAGCCAGGCCCCCTTCAAGCTTCACACTAACTACTCTTCAAACACACACATTTTTCAACAGCTGACCATCCAATGAAAGCCAACCACCCCTCAATCTAGGCATGCCCCTCCAATAGGAACAGGAAAATCCCTGAGGTGTGAAAAACAGCGCGCCCCACTTAGGGCACGCTTGGTACAGGACGCAGCCGGCCTAGTAAGCAGGACAGCTGAGCTCCAAGTCGGACTCAGCTAAGGCACAGGCAGGATGCCTCCACAACCCGCAGAGAGCACAGAGCTCCTGTTCCCACCCAGGCCTCCCTGCACCGCGGAGAGAGTAGCCCTCCCTTCTCCCGCGACCACTCACCGTCCGCCCAGCTCCTCACCTGTAGCCCCGCTTCCGGACCTGCAACCACTCGGGGCCCCGCCCCCCGCCCCTGCAGGTCTCCCGAGCCCCGCCCCTTGCACCTGTGGTTTCCTCAGGCCCGAGCTCGCCCGCAGCTTTGGCCTCACCTCGCAGCCCCCTCCCACTGGCAAACCTGCCGCCCCTCCTGGCCCCGCCCCCCGCACCTGCATCCCCCTCGGCCCCGCCCAACTGCCTCCTCCAGCCCCGCCCCCTGCACCTGCCCCCTTTCCCCGCCACCACCCCAACACCCACTGTCCTTCATGCCCCCCGGGACCAGCACACCTAAGGCCCCGGCCCGGGCCCTGCGCCCATAACACGCCCACCCTCCCCGACCCCGGGCCCCGCCTCCCGCACCGAGGCCCCTCCCCGGCCCCAGCGGCCCCTCCGGGCCCCGCCCCCCGCACCTGCAGCTCCCTCCGGCCCGGCCCTCAGGGCCCCGCCCCGCCCCGCCGGCCGCTCTTCTCACCGCCGCTCTCGCCGCCGCCGCCGCAGTCCCGGCCGGTCACCTTGACGCGGGCCGCAGTGGCTGCCGCCGCCTCCTCATGGCCTTGGGAGCGGCCCAGCGGCAGCGGCGCCTTCGCTCCGAGGCCGGGGCCGGGCCGAGCCGGGCCGGGGCCGGGCCGGGCGCAGCTGGAGCGCGGGCCGACGCGGGAGCCGAGCCGGTGCCCAGCCGCAGTAGGAACCGTCCGCTCCTGGGCCTGAGCGGCGGGTCGCACAGCCAATCGGCGCGCGCGGCCAGACCAGCCCCCCAACCAGCTCGTCGCGGGGGCGGAGACACGCAAATCGGCCGGCTGGTAGTGCCAGTGCGCAGCCGCTGCGTCCGCGGTCCTCGCTGGCGTCGGCCTCCGCGCTCGCCCGCAGAAGCCCTCTCAACCTGCAGGGATGCTCCGCTGCCCGCACACCCGGCCCGGCGCACCGCCACGCCCATCCCCTGCCTAGGAAAGCCGTGTATCCCCACACAGCCTTACAGGCCTCGCCCAGTTTCCCCCTAAGTCTCTACCTAGTTTTTTTGATTTTCAACAAAAAAATGGTTTTGTGAAGGAGACGTCACCTTAGTGCCCATTCTTTACAACTGGGAGACAGGCATAGAGCACGGAACGTCAGAGCTGGAAGAAACCTCGGAGATTCTCGGGTCCAATCCATTAATTTTTTTTCTCAGGTCCAATCCATTTATTTTGCAGCTGGGCAAAGTTAGGCCCAACGAGGAGAAGGGAGTTGCCCGAGACCACGCAAGTGCAAAGCTGGGAAGTGAGCCTAGATCCTGTCTCCCTGCTCCCGGGTCCTTTCCTCTGTGCCAGGCACGATGAGATGAGCACAGAGGTTAAGTCGTTTAAGTCGCAAAAATAAGTTGCAAAGACAGCTGAAGCCAGGTCCATGAAGCCCTGGAAGTCTGGACCCACAGTAAAACTCTGTTCTGCCTCTCACAGAAGGGGGGTACGATGCCTTGCCCTACAAATGATTCTTGGACATGTAGACAAGTAGAACATCATTTTTGACAATTTTCAAATTCATTTTGCAGTAACGTGAATGAGTATGGGAAGATTGGTTACTGTGCTTCCCAAAGCCTACGGAAGGAAACAAAGAAACAAACAAAAAAAGAAATAGAGTCAGTAGAAATTAACCAATTTCTAAGTCTTAAGGGATCTCTGAGGGAAACTTCTGCTATTTTGTATTAAGAAAATAGTAATCATCAAAGAAGATAATTATTTTACTTAAAAAGAGTAAGAGACTGTGTAGTGCATGGTTTTGTTCAGAGCCTCTGGATTCAGAAATGCACAAGGTGAAAGTTGAGTGCAAAAGCCGGAGAGACAGACTGCAGAGTCCAAGTCCTGCCTCTGCCACCAGCAAACTGTGCACAGAAGTTACTTAACTCTGTGCCTCAGTTTCTTTATTGAAAAGTGAGTATAGTGAGAGTAGCACCCTCTTCAGACAGGCTGTTGGAAGGATTAAATGAGATGATACATGAGGGCCTGGCACCTAACAAGATCTCAGTAAACATTAACTACTAGTATATTTACCTGTGTGACTTTGGGCAAGCACAGAAGGAGTTTAGCACAATGTTTGCAACAAATGCTTGCTAAATGGTATTTATTATTTTATTATGTTTATGCATAGTTTACAAAAGTTATTGTAAACCCAATTAAAAAATGAGCAAAGGATCTGAATAGACATTTCTTCAAAGAAGATATACAAATGGTCAGTAAGCACAGGAAAAAGTGCTCAATATCATTAGCCATTAGGAAAATGCAAATCAAATCTATAACAAATAAGATAGACAATAACAAAGGTTGGTGAGGAGGTGGAGGGAATGGAACACTTATACACTGCTGATGGGAATATAAAATAGTGCAGCCACTTTGGAAAACAGTCTGGCAGTTCCTAAAAGGTTAAACATAGAGTTAGCATATGACTCAACAATTCCCTAGATATATAAGCACAATGAAAACAATATGTCCATGCAAAAACTCTTACACAAATGTTGATAGCAGCATTATTCGCAATATCCAAAAATGGGAATAACCCAAAGGTCCATCAACCAATGAACAGATAAATAAAATGTGGTTTGTCCATACAATGGAATATAAAAAGAAATAAAGTACTAATATATGCTACAACATGGATGAACCCTAAAAGCACACTAAGTGAAAGAAGCTAGACCACATATTATATTATCTCATTTACATGAAATGTCCAGAAAAAGCAAATCTATAGAGATAAAGAATAGATTAGTTGTTGACTAGGGCTGGGGGTGGGGGTGGGGTCAAGGAATTAGAGATGATAGCTTAGGAGTTTATTTTAGGGATGATGAAAATGTTCTGAAATTGATTGTGGTGATGGTTGCACAACTCTGTGAATATACTAAAAAGCATTGAATTATACACTCTAAGTGGGTGAATTATATAACACATGAATAAAGCTGGTTTTTTTTTTTTTTTAAATTATTATTAAGTCTGATCAATCATGTCACTCCCATGCTTAAACATGTGTTACAGGATGTGTCAAAGTATGACACGCTGGTGAAGTGGGCCAGTTCTCCGTGTCTAATGTGTTGTAGTCACTCTCTATGAAGGGAAGGAAATTTGAACCACAGGAGGCAAAGAGGGTTGGAGAAATCACCAAGGGACAATTCCCAACCCAACTGCCTTGACATAGACTTATACTTCATGGCGAGCCAAACTTTGGGACAGTTCTAGGAGTAGCTTTCATTAGAGATGCTGATAAACAAGGAAGGTGTGGTAGATAGACTCTCGATGGCCCCCATACTCCTCACCTCCTTATGTCCATGCCTTTGCGTGGGCAGGTCCTGACTTGCTCCTAACTGATAGAATGAGGTAAAGTGTTTGTACGTGGCTACGTTGCATAAAATTGTAACCTATCTTGCTAGGAAACACTCTCTGGCTGGCCTTGAAGATGTAAGCTGCCAGTTGTGACCTGCCCTATAGAGAAAGACCACGCGGCACAGAACTGAGAGCAGCCAGCCAATAGCCAGCAGAAAAAAATGGGGGCCCTCAATCCAGCAGCCTGCAAGGAACAGAATGCCACCAACAATCACAGAAGCTCAGAGCAGATTCTTCCCCTCTGGAGCCTCAATGAGACTGCAGCCCTGGCCAACACCTTGATTACAGCCTTGTGAGACCTTGAATCAGAGGACTGAGCTAAGCTGTGCTGGACTCCTGACCTAAGTAAACATTGAGATAATCAATGTGTGTTATTTTAAGCTACCAAATTTGTGACAAAATTGTTACACAGCAAAAGATAACTAATACAGAAGCATAACCCACCCTTCCCTGTTGCTCAAGAGGTAGCTTCTGTGCAGAGGCCATCGGCACCCTGATGTTATGAGGATTCTGGAATGAGGAACTCCTCCAGATCCTGGGGGTTTGTATCTCTGAAGGGCATCAGGAGACAGAGTCTGGGGCACAGGAAAGAGCACTGTCATTAGGGACACAGGTAGCAGTGGCAGTGGTGAGGTGCCCCCAAGGGGCTTCAGGGGAAGCAGCCCTTAACAAGGGTGGCAGGGAGAGACTGGAAGAACAGAGATTGACAGTGAAGTTTTGGATTTGGCCAATTCTAGGAAACAGTCCTGGCTTTGCCACTTCCCAGCTATGTGGCCTTGGACAAATGTCTAGACCTCTCCATGCCTCAGTCTTTTCGTTTCTGAAAAGGTAATATTCAGAGCACCTACCTTGGAGGGCTTTCCCAGGGAAAAAGTGAATTAACCCTATAGTAACCATGAGAATCCACCTTGCAGACCTCCAACTATAGGGAGATTACTTGACCAAGGGCCCAGCTACTGCACTCTGAAATCCATCAAAGCATTTGCACTGAGGCCACGCTACTCATGGGCTACACCCAACAACTGACCATGGCGGGAATACTAAGACAGGCCTGTGCCTAGATGACAATGGCATTCCTCTGATAATCATCTCTGGCTCAGGGACAGCCTAATGGCCTTGCTGAACATTCCTCAGATTGCATGGTAGCATAGGATGCTTCCACGACTTCCTTCTTTCTCTCCTTCACTTGACATAAGACTTGATGTATAGTCTGATGGCTCTCTCAACCTGGAAATGGCTCCCTGCCCATGTGCCCTAATAAAATCCTTGCATGTTTAATCCTATCTTGGCATCTGTTTCTTTTTTTTTAATTTATTTCAGCATATTATGGGGGTACAGATTTTAAGGTTTCAATAAATGCTCATTCCCCCCTCCCCCCACAAGTCTGAGTCTCCAGCATGACCATCCCCCAGATGGTGCACATCTCACTCATTATGTATGTATATACCCGCCCCCCTCCCCCCTCCAACGTTGGGCATCTGTTTCTTTAGGAACGTGGAAAGACACAAGAAGTACCAGGAATGGTCAGGGAAAACAGGTGGTAAGATGTGGATTTGGGACTGGCTCATCCCCTGCTCAGCAGGTAAAGAGCATGCCCTCTTGGTGGAGCATAAATAGTCTCTGGAACATGGTGGTGGCTCAAATGGTAAAGATTTCACTGACAGTGACCTGGGAAAATATCTGCATGGAAGAGAATGCTGTGGTCGGTGCTATGATGCCAGCACCTGAAAAATGTGGAAGAACAATGTGCACAAAGAGAAAAGAAGGTGGTTGGCTGGCTGCATTGTGAAAGAATAATGAGAGACTGCATGCTGTTAAGGAGCAGTTAATGGCTAAATTTAAGAGGCAGAGAGCTCCAGTGGTCATCACTTACAATGAAGCTCTCGTCCCCTCTGGTAGTGGAAGGACAGACACAATTGAGCAACAGGATGAAGAGCTAAGTTAGATTCTAGAGCTCCAGAGACCTCTGAATGCTCAGGCAAAGAAATTCTGTTATCTGAAGGATAGGACCTTGATGGGGTGAACTGAAGATCTAAAACATGGGATGGGGACATCTGGGTGGATGCTCCTGAGGATGTTGACTCTGGGACACATGCTCTGGGCCCTGGCCAAGCTGGGGCCCTGGCCAAGTTCTCAAGAACTCAGCTATTACCGTGCTGGAAGATGCCTCGGAAACCTTCCCCCACAGGCAACAGTTGCCCCCTTCAGCACTTCCCCACCTCCCCTCCTAGCTGGCAGGCTGGTAACTAGGGTTAAATCCCATGGTAACCTGGCTGGGAATGCACTGAGCCAAACAAGGGAAAACATAGACTATACCCCTAAATTTCCAGAATTAACCAGTCTATATTGGCAGAAACCAGGGGA